AAAAAAAAATAGAAAATAATAGTTAAACATGAGGGTGTATTTTTTATGGTACGTAGTAAAAGAGTAAGGGTGCAGAAAGTCAGGGCCTGAATTCAAATATTGAATTCAGGCCTAGTAAGCCTGAGGGGTGTAACTTTGAACTGTCAAGCAAACCATGAGGGTGTTAAACGTAATGGGCTTGACCCAAATGTAGTTTTTTGGGAGGCTTGAATGATCGCGTGTGGCGAGGGTGCATGGGGTTTATGGTGAACTTGGTCTTATGGCCGTTCAATCATGATCAAACGAATGGGATTTAAAGGTGCATCCTATTTACTGTAAACGCGCGGGTATACGATGATAACAAAATATAAGTTTTTTTATTTCATTTTACAATTTATTTTCAATAATAGACCCCTGTTCTCTCCCTATCTCAACTCAGTACAACCCTTTCCTTCTTCCTCTCAAACCCTACCCCAAAACTGCAACCGCGACAACGCGACGACCTCATACTGAATCCCTCCTATCGCAAATCAGCCCCAACAACCCAACAACAATATCAGAATAAAAAGCTAAGTGATATACCTCTTTGCGATCTCGTACTCTGATTTTGAGCTCCCTTTCCGATCCGCTTCTGATCTTCCTCCCTTTATCTTATTTGCAGGTTTCTGGTGGCCTTCTAAGGTGGTGGCGGCGATTCAGAGATAATGTTCAACGACGGCTATGACGGTGTTACAGCGGCGGCGCGATTAGGGTTTCAGATATTGAAACCCTAATTGTTGTCCCTCTTCAAAAATGAATTTGTTATTAAAGATTCCTCTTCGTCACTGCGTCACCAATTCTTAGAATCTCTCCTCCCTTCCTTCTGTATCTGTTTAGCCTTTTATAGGGTTTTCTGGTTTATAGCTTAGTCGTTACAATCGTAATTAGAGCTTAGATTAGGGAATTTATTTTAGTTGTAATTGATTGTAAATTGATTCATTCCATAATATTTGATTTGTTCTTTTAATACATGATTCGGGACTGGATTTATTTTTGTAATAGAGATTTGATTTGTAATTTCTAGAAATAGAGATTGGGTTTTGTTTTGCTGTGATTTTGATGGTTTTAGATTGGAATTGATTCTGTATATTAGAGATTCTGAGATTTTTTATTTATTTTGATTGAAATTATGAGATTTAGTTTGTAATAAAAGTTGATATTATTTGTATTGAATCTAAACAGTACTTGTTGACGAACCAAAAATATGCGTAATCTTCGCTGAATCTCTAAAGTATCCGTTAGTGCCCCATGTTTTTACTAATTGAAGCAATAACCACTTTTAATTCCATTTGGGCTTTGTATTGATTCCAAACCAAATTGTAAAGACATTTGGGCCTTCTACTGTAAAACATTTTGTAATAACAACCCCCTTCTTTTTTTACATAACGCATTTTTAAGCCAGTCTGGGCCCGATATTGGGCCCCTTTGTTTTATAAATCAGGCCTTCAAATGTTTTAACTAAGTGCTTCTAAAAAAAACAAATATTTAATAAAACAAAAATGTTTGAATAATAACAGTAAAAACGTCACAAGGGTTAGCTAAAAAACCTTAATGGGCCTGCTATCTCCAAATCATTGCTTATTAAAAATTGAAAGTAGCCTCATGAATTTTAATGGGCTTGTAATTTATACTCGCGCCTCCTCCATTTTAAAACAGCAAATTTCATTTAAGAATCAGTAAAACTAATATTTTTCTTAAAAACGAAACAACAGATAACAAAAAACACAAATGGGCAGACTAAGTAAATTACCCCAACCCTTTTTACTAATAACAAAGCAACACCTAAGTTTCTTTAATAAATTCAATTATTATTTAATAGCAATTTTATTTTAAATAATAACAACTATTTAGTAGTTATTATTCTGAAATAACCTTATATTTTCGAATCGCGTGGGCCATTGGCCAACATACCACGCGAATGGGTTCACGGATATACGAGTCCTTCTGATTTAGAAATCTCCGCTTTCCTGAATTTAAAATACACCCCCTAGTCTTGGATAAAGATGGACCATCAGATACTGCTGTGCCATCCTAAAATAAATGTTTCTTCTATCTTGAAATTATGATCGTAAGGGTGGGGCAAATTTGGGGTACGGAATTATGCAATTTGAAAAATATTCCTCCATATTTTTCGTAGCCTGTAGATCACAAATCCTGAATTATGCCACGAATGAAAACAGGAAACAAAAGACTTAACTTATTTTGGGCTGAGATCAGTTCAGTAGGTAGATGTCAAGTCATCTGCTTTGACATCATTCAAAACAGTTTTGCTTCAAATGTTAAGACATTTAGCAATTTATTAACAAGTCATTGTTTTACCAAAATTGCTGCCAACAAACACTTACAGAATCAATGAAGCTATTAATTTCTGACACTAATTTACCTCTATTGCTATTTTAATTTATCATAGATTTTCTATTATTTCCTGCTATTACCGTCCTACTATTATTGAGGTCCTTATGCTAAATATCTACGAATGTTACTTTCCATACATTACTGCTACTAACAATTATCATTATGTTCTCTGCTAAATTACCTTCTGCTAGCATTTACTCTGTTATGATTCAATACTTATGTCTTATGCTACTATGCAGTTACTGCTAATCATGCAATTACTGCTAATATGTACTCAATCTCTTCTACCTATAATCCATTGCTTCTGTAATAACAATTAGTGACTAAATAATAAAGTAGAAAACACAAGAACAGATAACAAATAAAAGAACTTGGAGGTTTAAGGGTGTATGCCCCTCGGCACACTACGTGCCCCTCGGCACGAGATGTGCCCCTCGGCATAAGGGTTATACCACTCGGCACACCCACCACTTCATATGGTGCCGGGTCGGCACCCTTTCCCTTCCCCCCGTCACACTTTTTCATAGTGTGCCCTTCGACACGCCCTGTGTCCTTCGACACACTTTACTTTTTTCGCTTTTCAAGTAGTTTCAACAGAGCCTCGAATAACTCTTTTCCGATTACTGGTCTCATAATAGAACTATATATATATATATATATATATATATATATATATATATATATATATATATATATATATATATATATATATATATATATATATATATATATATATATAACAACATCAATTTTCACCGAAACAATGATTTTACAGAGACAACAATTTTACACAATTAATAACATGAAAATAGACGATGATTCGACAATTTTTCTCGGCAACATTCATACACAGTAGCAATCCCATATAACCCAATCCTCATATAATATCAATCATATACCCAATTATAGAGTTAGAACCCCACCCTTACCTTGGATTAAATGCCTCTCTACAATTTCCGGTCGAACCTAACTTTGCCTCTTTTCCTTTTCCTCTTCTCTAAATTCTCACGTACAACACTTTCTCTACTCTTTCTCTTAACCCTTTTTAATTAACCTAATTTCTATTATTCAACTTAACCAAATAATAATATTATTTCTATTGAGCCTAATTTTCACACCTCCTTAATACTACGTCTATCACCAAAACAAGCCCAACAACTAATATTATTAATATTCTACAATTCTAATATTATTACTAATATTATTAATCAACTAATTTAACCGACTAATAACAACACCACATCCTATGTCAACAACTCACGACATAACACAACATGTCAATAATTTCAACGAATAATTCGCTATAAATCGAAAATACTTAATTAAATCAACGGGCGTTACAAAATGCACGAAAATTTGGTTTAAAATCAATGGAACTTGATATTAGTGTTAAGCAATCATGCTAACAAGCTGAAATATGAAACAAACAAAAATTAAATCAACTTTACATGTGTTTACCAACATGGGGCAGTAACATCGTGATACATGAACGTGCACCAAAAACCGAAACAAAATCACTTAAATTTGACACCGATGTCAAACAATTGCTTAATTAAACTCAACCGAGTATTTTCTGAGAATTGAAACTCATTGTACAAGCAAATCAAAGAGGATACAACAACTCCTCAACATCCTTCAGACAAGACTTAGTGACACTAGACCAGCCTCGGTTTGAAAATAAATCAAACACACAACCCAAAGGACACAACAACTCACTACTATAGTACCATTGACGATATCTTCAGAGAGAACCATCAATCAAGTTGTCATGGGTAACCCTCACTCCTGCTTCCAAACAACAACATGAATTGACCAAGTTCACACGGTAGGTACAATGTCATAACATTTGGTAAAACATCATACACAAATTAGAGTGTGAGAGAATCAAAACACTCTCATCCTTATAGCTCCCTCCTTGCTGATCTTGTACTTTTAGAGAACAAATACACCATCTTTCTAGAATCCTCATCACTTCTCAGACTCTGGGTAGGATGTCGAGAACATATCATAGGACAACATACATAAGAGATATCATTAATAGAAGCCATCAGGTATACATCCGGCTCTTCCAAGGAAAGCCAAATCTCGATAAGACAAGTCAAACCTGAACACCCCAGGTTTACACAACAGAGGCACATGCAGGAAAATGCCTCATAAATAACACCACAAACACATCAGTAGCTCCCAAAACGCTTTAATCCTTTCTTGTTCAAAGTACCAGAAATCATCTTCCCTGATCTCATCCAGAATAGAACAGGATACTTGCTCTAATACCAATTGAAATTCTGGTATACAGATAACAATGTCCTAACACATGTTGAGACAAAGATCTCTGCATCACATGGACAGAATACAACATACTGATATAAATCTTATCAGTTCAAAGTCGTAACAGATGTTCCAACATCTATTATGACATGTTAATCAATCAAGAAACAAAACTGAATAATGCAGAATGATAAAAACACAAAGATATGATGACCCAGTTTGGTGGAGACACTCCTACTCTGGTGGCTACCAAGCCAAGAAGAAAATCCATTATCAATAGTATTAGTTCAAAGTTAAACTCTCCCGTTTATAACTTCTCACTTAATCCCTACCCAATGACCCTTTTACTTAGGAACATCCTAAATATGAGAAATCGCCATCTCATATCCTAATTCAGGTCTTGTGACTGAGGCCGTTTTCGTACAAAGTCTTGAACTTTCCTTCTGACCATTAAAATCTATTTCTGTTTTTGAAAATTGGTTCTTGATCATCTTCTTGTTTTCAACAGCCTTTGGTTGAGACATAACTGTGTTGGTAACTTGGTTCTTGATCATCTTCTTGTTTTCAACAGCAATGTTACTATCCTTTGGTTGAGACATAACTGTGTTGGAAACTTGGTTCTCGATCATCTCCTTGTTTTCAACAATAATGTTACTATCCTTTGGTTGAGACATAAGTGTGTTGGAAACTTGGTTCTTGTTTTCAACAGCAATGTTATTGTCCTTTGGTTGAGACAAAGGTGTTGTTTTTGTACGATAATTAGAATCAACCCAATAACATGTTACGGTTGGTCTTACAGAATCTTGAATCTTCCTTCTCTTGTTTTCATCTGTGCCACAAGAATCTGAATCACGTTTTCTAGAACCAGGAGGATAACTGAGCTTGACGATAAGTCTTTTACGAGGTTTTGTGTTCTCGGACATGGATGCTGTTAATGAACAAGGGTTTGTGTTGGATGGTGCTAAGGAACAAGGTTTGGTGTTGTGCGACATGGATGCGGAACAAGGGTTTTCGTTGGATGCTGAAGCATACATAATGGTGTAATCAAAGAACGAAAGTTGTTTGTTTGGAAAGAACCAAAGTGATTGCATGTATATATAAAATGCGGAAAAAGATTTGAATTTGATTTGATTGTACTCACATTTAACGCTAACTAGGATTTAGGATACATCATTAATACTTAAAACAACTTTCAAAATTAAATCTTTTTATTATTTTTTTTTTTGTTTTACTATGAGTAAGTCATCGAAAAGGAAGGAGCCTTTAATTTTTTTTATATGATGTTTTTTTAACAAACTTCTCATTTGATTTTTTTTTTTTAATTCTCTTCAAGTTTTGTGACAAAAAAAAAAGGAAATTTAAAATTTTTGTTTAAAAAATTGTAACAAACAAGCGCTAAGGTCATTTAAAAAAAGTCTTTAAATATTAATCAATTTTTTTGCAACAATAAATAATAATTTTAATTTTTTTGTATTAACATTATTTATTTAAAAATTCAAAAATTTAATAAATATGTTTAAATGAATTTAATTGACAAAGATATTTTTACAGTATGACTAATTCTCTTATTTTAAATCATGTTTGCCTTTTCCTTTTAACATTTTATAGTGACGAGACTTTTTATATTGGCAGGCAATGCATAATATTTAATATCTATTGAAACGATTTTAAAAGTTCAATCTTATTTTAATTATAATTACTTTTTAATATTTTATTATAAATAAGCTATCTTGAGTATTTATTTTTTATTTTACACTCATTCAATGAACGACGTGCAACTCGTCACATCATATTGATAATTTAAATTAATTTTGATGATTTTACATATTGATGATTTCCAATTGGATGATTGTATAAAATTTATTTACACCGACAATACATGTCCATTAAACTCTAACGAATAAGCTATTGGGAGCATTTAATTTTGTAAGGATACAAGACATCATTAATATTAGTCCTTAGATGTGAAAGGGGAAATCTTAGTTTATAGGAAGGTGAGGTGGCAGAACTGCATAACCTTTCAGCGGATTTGTTTACTTTATCCAAGTTGAATTCTAGTATGCAGTGGCAGAAGTCTAAGTTGAACTGGTTGAGGGTAGGTGATGGGAATTCTAAATTTTATCATGGGTTTATGTCATCTAGACGTAGGTCCAATACGATCACTTATTTATCGGTGAATGATGCTCTTGTTGAAGGTGTAGCCCCGATTAAAGAAGCAGTTTTTCAGCACTTTCAGTCTCATTTTAAAGTGGTAGGAGGTGATCGTCCAGAGATTAATAATTTGTCATTTAAAACTCTTAGTGGTATGGATGGGGCTGATCTTATTAAGTCGTTTACGATGGAAGAAGTGAAACAGGCGGTGTGGGATTGTGATAGTTACAAGAGTCCAGGTCCAAATGGTGTGAGTTTTGGGTTTATAAAAGAATTCTGGGAGTTGTTGAAAGATGATTTGTTGAGATTTTTTATGAAGTTTCACCGTAATGGAAAGCTAGCAGGAGGTATTAATAGTACGTCATTACTACGATACTTAAAATTGACAGTCCTAAGCGGATTGGGGATTTTTGTCCCATTTCGTTGGTTGTGAGTTTGTACAAAGTATTCGCAAAAATTCTGGCTAACAGATTGAGAAAGGTAATTGGTGGGCCGATCTCGGATACTCAATCTGCTTTTATCTCAGGAAAACAAATTTTAGACGGCATTCTGATAGCTAATGAGGTGGTGGGTGATGCTCGAAATAATAAGAAAGAGTTTGTCGCGTCTGAGATTTTCATCGAAGCGCGAAGGAGGCGGACAAATAAAGTTACGATATTACAGTTGAACGCGTCCTATACACTTTATCTAGGAAAATAGAAATAAGATGAAAATAGCAAAGAAAATGTTTTGGTGATTTTTTATGAAAAAAATAATTTATGATAATTAATTAAATGAACATAAAAAACCTAATTAATTTTAATTAATAAAAAATATTAATTTTGAAAAAATTAATTAAAATACCTAAAACCTAATTAATTTTAATTAATAAAAAAAAGGTTAATTTTGAAAAAAAAGTTAATTAAAAAAAACCTAAAACCTAATAAATTTTAATTAAAAAAGGGTTTAAAAAAACTTATGTGTAATGATTAATAAAAAGGGATTAAGTTTGCCAAAAAATAGATAGAGGAAGAAGCATCAATGAAAAATAGGATTAGAAAATACAAATAATGCAAATGTCAGGGGTGAGTGTTGAACCAAAAAATAATTTAAAACCTAAAGTTAAATTTAAAAAAACCTAAAATTAATTATTCGAGTTTATTATGAAAAATCAAAGATTTGTGAAAAATGTGAAGTTTTATGAAAAAATGTTTTAAACAGAAAGAATGAAAATAGGTAAAAGGATAAATATAATGGAAGAAAACCAAAACCAATAGGGATGGGTGTTGAACCCACACCCTTAACCTCCTCAGGATATCTGCCTTGCCATACAATTGGTGGTTGTTATAATCCGGCCTCAGTGTTTTGTAATAAACCTGATGGGACCATAATGGTCAAACCTGTAATGTTGAATCTCATGAACACATTAAACAAATTAGTATACCATGAAATACAGATAAAATAAATATATAAAATTTTGTAATGTTAAAACCGACATGGCATGTATGAATGTTTCTACACCCTTTTGATCATGGAGATCAAACCAGCCTCACTCTTATCAGAGAAGTAGTTAGATAGGGGTTTGTAACAAGGATTAGCTTGTTTGTAGTGAGATATGGGTTTGTAACAAGGATTTCAAGATTTTTAGGGTTCTTGAAAGAATTTGATATTTTGATAGGATTGTGGCAAAGGTTTTTTTTCGTCGTCTGTGTGAAAAGAATAAGATTATATAATGGAAATTAGAGTAAAGATATGGGCTTTGAATGTGAAATTGGGCCTCCAATAACCACAAGCAATAGTGCATATTTTTATTCACTTGAGTCTGTCACGTTCCAGTCTAAATTGCAGGGACTTAAGTTTAATTTTTGAAGTTGAAATGTGAAAACAAAATGTAGCTTACATCGAGAATAAACTCCTGTACGAAAATGGGCTCAATCGGATAAACGGTAAATTAGTTATGAATTTTTGAAGTTTCGCCTCAGACAAACTTGTTTTGGACTCAAGTGTCAACTCTGACACGTTCTTCAATAAAAAACTAGTATTGATCGGAGCAGAACACGGTCTCGACTTTGGAAGAAAAGTTGTATACCTCTGAGTTAGTGACTTTGTGTAAAAAGATGGGCCCGATCCGATAAAAATTGACCGAGTTATAAATTTTCGAAGTTTCGACCCAGATGAAATAATATTCAGCATTTAGGATTTTCGGCACGTCACGCCCACTCTGGGCAAAAAACGAAGGTCTTTTGGATACCATTCAAACTCGATACCTCCTGTGAAAATGTATCCAACTCAATTTGTAAAACTTTGGCACCGGAACCAGCTCAATACGGTGAAAATCGACCAAGTTATGATTTTCTGAACATGACGCAAATAAACTTCTGTCATAAATATTTTGTACGAAAATACTTGATAAATCCGCATTTTTGAAGACCTTCTAATCGAAATTGGCTTCCATACGTGAGAGATGAAAACTTAGATGACGTCAAGACATAATTTTTGCCACCAGAACGGGTTCAAAATGAGCCACGATCTTCAAGTTATGAATTTTTTAGTGCGTAAAAACTGCACTATCAGCACACTTTTTACCATATTTCTTTGAGAAAAAATCGCACATTCGGAGACCTTCTTTAAAGAATTGGCTCTCGAGCCGATCCTGAATTTGAGAATATGTTATCAGGGATATCTTGGCGAAAGAACACCTGAATATGACGCATCGGGTTGGACTTGTGAATCTTTGAACCCTGAATCCACTATGCCAAACAAGGGATTAGACAGCGCTTTTTTAGGCCTTTAACAGCGCTGCTAAAACCTCTGCTGCTAAAGGTATAGACAGCGCTTTTTTTTCAATCACTTTAGACAGCGCTTGGTAAAAGCGCTGTCTATTACCCCCCTTTAGCAGTGCTTTTCCTCATTTTTTTCAATCACTTTAGACAGCGCTTTCATGAAAAGCGTTGTCTATTACCCCCCCTTTAGCAGCGCTTTTCCTTTTTTTTTTTTTAAAAAAAAATTTCAATCACTTTAGACAGCGCTTTCATGAAAAGCGTTGTCTATTACCCCCCCCCCCCCCCCCCCCCCCCTTTAGCAGCGCTTTTCCTTATTTTAAAAAAAAAAAATTTCAATCACTTTAGACAGCGCTTTCATGAAAAGCGCTGTCTATTACCCCCCCCCCCCCCCCCCCTTTAGCAGCGCATTTCTCTTTGACCAAATACTCCAACACACCGCCAGCCAAACCACTCCGACCAATCCACGTTTTTTGATTGAAAGATGCATCTATTATTGACTAAATAATTCTGATTGTGTGTATTATGTGTCTATGTAGAGGATAGCTCTTGTATACTGTGTTGTAGCTCTACTTCGCAATATTTACTTCATTTTCATCTACTTGCTACTACCTTCTAATTTATATACATTAACTTAGCATTACAAAAGAAAAAAACAAACCATTTGCATACATATAATTTCCATACATTATATTTTACAATTACTTCTGATAAACTTAATCATATCATTGTTATATGTACATAGACAAAGGTTCATTCACAAGGTGGAAAATGTCATGACAGCAACCATGGATTGATCACTCCCAACCCATCAACATCTTCCAAACTCCCTCCTCAATCTTGTTCCTCGGAACAGACAAACCCTCCCCTTCGTCGAGCAAGATTCTATAAACTTCCCACTCCCGGTCTCCGATCGAGTGTCTCCCGATTTCAGCCTGTTGAAACAATTAATCAGAATATTAACATAATGACTTCTGAAAAACTATGTCTTTTATTGGTTTTGATGGATGTTTGTTAAAGAAATATATTGACTAAGGAACTAAGCAATAGGAAATATGAAGCAGGTGAGTGATTACCGAAAAGATGCAAATTTCGAGCATTTTGAGAGCAAGTGTAATATCATAAAAAACTAGAGGTCGTCCTTCGCCAGACAACTCGACAGGGTTTGCAACTAGAAGCTCGGTATCAGGGCCTCGGCTCACAACAGCTACTCTTAGTGGACGATATAGTTCCGTTCTAAGGCGCGACAACAAAGAACTCTGCTTGTTAGGGTCAACTATCTTTTTTCCATCTGCTTGCATGATGAACAAGTCTATCTCACATTTTCGTCGAGGTTTTGTAGTGAAACGCCCGAACGAAATCTGATTAAGTGACAAATTGCATTGGCACATATTCAATTGATAACAGCATAAGATTAGCATAAAAGAACATTTACTCGTGATGATTTTAAATTTGCATACCTTAATGTTGTAGTCTTTGAGAGTTCTCATTATGTCATAAAGAAGACCTTTGTGGTCTTGGCACGTAATTTGGACAAGGGAATGAGCCAGACTAAGGGTGTTGTCCACCGTGATAGAAGTATAATTTGATCGGAGAGTTCCGGTTTGAACTGAATCAGGCAATTTGAAATTATAATCGTTTTCAGTGATGGCAGATGGAAGGAATGAAGAGGCCTGCGAACAAGCATAAATTTCCGGGCCAACCAATTAGATGTCCATAGTAAGTACGGAATCCTCCAAAACACCTTTTATCTGTTCGATCGTATCATCCTTTCTCGTCTTTGTATGTAGAAGATCTCTGTTATTATAGATTCATCAAAGGCACATTAAGTAAAACGATAAAGAAGTTTTGGTAGAAGCGAACTAGCATTATAGAGTAGCAAATAGAATATGTAAAAACCTGGTATCTATGATAAAAAAACAGATCCAAGACTTTGCCATCGGGTGTAGTGGAAACCTTGACTTTGATAATCAAAAGCTCTAGCTCAGACAGAACCGCAGTAACATCTGCCACAGATATAAAATCTTTCAGTTATTCTGTTGTCTACAGATTCCACACAAAATCGGTGTCACAAAGTAAAAGACGATCTTATAAAAATAAGATATGGCATAACATAACATAACTCCAAATTGGAATGCATTCAAGAATATGACATCAATGGCTATACTTTGGTATTTGCATGGCTTTCATAACAATCAAAACAAACCCTGCAGCCCTTTTATTACTCTGCGAAACTCGTGAGAACGAAGGGGGATCGTTGTGACCGAAGATTGACGATACGATGAATTAAGACTTACAAATTATGCAGAAACGAAAACAAAAGTACCAAGAAAAGAATATCACAAACAAAAACTATATGCATGCTCTTAATTAACCTATCATCAAGCTATTAGCATATCAATAAGCCTCAAAGTATTGATTCTTGAACTAATCGGTCACTAATAGTGTCTAAATTCTATCAACAAGAGCAAGATAAAACACATGCAATGTTTGATTCCACTTTTGGTAGAGTCAAATTTGATTCCAGAGGAGTAGAATCAATTTTGAGAAGTTAGGATGTTCTTTGAGTAGAATTGATTTTGCCTCCATAAATGATTCCAATTTAAAGCACTTTAACCAAAATCAATTTTACAGAATCAATTCATTCAAAATCAATTTTCGTCGATTCAGTTCAGAACCAACAACACACACCGGAAGACTGAATTTCCAATTAAAGTTTTGAAATTTACCGTGTAAAAGTCCTAAAAAATCATAAAATTTGAATCCTAAGCAAAACTGACAGAATCCTAAAAAATCATATTTGAGAGTTAATTTGCTACTCATCAACAATCAAAGCGGTTAAATTTGAATAAGGAGCTTATTTTAAAAAAAATACATTCATCAACCAAGAAAACAATTAATTAAAGCTCTACTGCAAGGTATGATTATTCAAGAAAAATGAAAAAAACTACTATTCACACACAATTACAAACAAAGAATAAAGATACTGTTGTGATAAAAAACTACTATTCACACACAATTACAATCTTAGTTTATAGGAAGGTGAGGTGGCAGAACTGCATAACCTTTCAGCGGATTTGTTTACTTTATCCAAGTTGAATTCTAGTATGCAGTGGCAGAAGTCTAAGTTGAACTGGTTGAGGGTAGGTGATGCGAATTCTAAATTTTATCATGGGTTTATGTCATCTAGACGTAGGTCCAATACGATCACTTATTTATCGGTGAATGATGCTCTTGTTGAAGGTGTAGCCCCGATTAAAGAAGCAGTTTTTCAGCACTTTCAGTCTCATTTTAAAGTGGTAGGAGGTGATCGTCCAGAGATTAATAATTTGTCATTTAAAACTCTTAGTGGTATGGATGGGGCTGATCTTATTAAGTCGTTTACGATGAAAGAAGTGAAACAGGCGGTGTGGGATTGTGATAGTTACAAGAGTCCAGGTCCAAATGGTGTGAGTTTTGGGTTTATAAAAGAACTCTGGGAGTTGTTGAAAGATGATTTGTTGAGATTTTTTATGAAGTTTCACCGTAATGGAAAGCTAGCATGAGGTATTAATAGTACGTCATTACTACGATACTTAAAATTGACAGTCCTAAGTGGATTGGGGATTTTTGTCCCATTTCGTTGGTTGTGAGTTTGTACAAAGTATTGGCAAAAATTCTGGCTTACAGATTGAGAAAGGTAATTGGTGGGCCGATCTCGGATACTCAATCTGCTTTTATCTCAGGGAAACAAATTTTAGACGGCATTCTGATAGCTAATGAGGTGGTGGGTGATGCTCGAAATAATAAGAAAGAGTTTGTCGCGTCTGAGATTTTCATCGAAGCGCGAAGGAGGCGGACAAATAAAGTTACGATATTACAGTTGAAGCGTCCTATACACTTTATCTAGGAAAATAGAAATAAGATGAAAATAGCAAAGAAAATATTTTGGTGATTTTTTATGAAAAAAATAATTTATGATAATTAATTAAATGAACATAAAAAAACCTAATTAATTTTAATTAATAAAAAATATTAATTTTGAAAAAATTAATTAAAATACCTAAAACCTAATTAATTTTAATTAATAAAAAAAAAGGTTAATTTTGAAAAAAAAAAGGTTAATTAAAAAAAACCTAAAACCTAATAAATTTTAATTAAAAAAGGGTTTAAAAAAACTTATGTGTAATGATTAATAAAAAGGGATTAAGTTTGCCAAAAAATAGATAGAGGAAGAAGCATCAATGAAAAATAGGATTAGAAAATACAAATAATGCAAATGTCAGGGGTGAGTGTTGAACCAAAAATTAATTTAAAACCTAAAGTTAAATTTAAAAAAATATAAAATTAATTATTCGAGTTTATTATGAAAAATCAAAGATTTGTGAAAAATGTGAAATTTTATGAAAAAATGTTTTAAACAGAAAGAATGAAAATAGGTAAAAGGATAAATATAATGGAAGAAAACCAAAACCAATAGGGATGGGTGTTGAACCCACACCCTTAACCTCTTCAGGATATCTGCCTTGCCATACAATTGGTGGTTGTTATAATCCGGCCTCGGTGTTTTGTAATAAACCTGATGGGACCATAATGGTCAAACCTGTAATGTTGAATCTCATGAACACATTAAACAAATTAGTATACCATGAAATACAGATAAAATAAATATATAAAATTTTGTAATGTTAAAACTGACATGGCATGTATGAATGTTTCTACACCCTTTTGATCATGGAGATCAAACCAGCCTCACTCTTACCGGAGAAGTAGTTAGATAGGGGTTTGTAACAAGGATTAGCTTGTTTGAAGTGAGATATGGGTTTGTAACAAGGATTTCAAGATTTTTAGGGTTCTTGAAAGAATTTGATATTTTGATAGGGTTGTGGCAAAGGTTTTTTTCCGTCGTCTGTGTGAAAAGAATGAAATTATATAATGGAAATTAGAGTAAAGATATGGGCTTTGAATGTGAAATTGGGCCTCCAATAACCACAAGCAATAGTGCATATTTTTATTCACTTGAGTCTGTCACGTTCCAGTCTAAATTGCAGGGACTTAAGTTTAATTTTTGAAGTTGAAATGTGAAAACAAAATGTAACTGACATCGAGAACAAACTCCTGTACGAAAATAGGCTCAATCAAATAAACAGTGAATTAGTTATGAATTTTTGAAGTTTCGCCCCAGACAAACTTGAATTTGAATTTGGTTTGATTGCACTCACATTTAATGCTAACTAGGATTTAGGGTACATCATTAATACTTAAAACAACTTTAAAAATTAAATCTTTTTATTATTTTTATTATTTTTTAAATATTATTATAAATAAGCCATCGAAAAGGAAGGAGCCTTTATTTATTTTATGAGAAGTTGTTTTAACCCACTCTCATTTGATTTTTTTATTAAAAAAACTATTAAAAATTTATAAATTTTTTTTTTCAATTTTTTAAACTCTTTGTTTTAAAATTTGTAACAACAAGGGCTAAGGTCGTTCGAAAATAGGTCTTTAAATATTAATCATTTTTTTACAACAATAAATAATAATTTTAATTTATCTTTTATTTTTGTTTTAAAATTATTTATTTAAAATTTATATATTTAAATTAATTTAGTTGATATCACTATCTATTATTAAATCATAACACCCACATCTTGAATAATGATTGACTTCTTCATAATAGACATTCTTTGTCCATAAATATGGACGTGTCCACCAAGTACAATAAACATGCTCTCAATGCATATGCTTTATGCTGTATAACTTGTTTATCATCACCATTAGCCTACTATGCCTTAGTCAGTTGGTGTCCATACAGATTCTCCATGAATCCAAATCTATGATGACATCCTCGTTTGTTTTCTATCTCATTCAGAGCATTCTCTGGGATAGCTCCTAAATAAGTCACCCTCATCTCTAATGCCTCATCTTTGATAATCATGGAGTAGTTTAATAATCTTTCTTTGACTGAAAGATACAGCAGGTGTAACACATTGTCTAGTGTGTTGGACATCTCACCACGTGTATAACATCTTAGAGTGTCACCTCTCAACGAAGGCTGACAACATGTCATTGTTAATAGTAGTATATTGGTCTTGCATAAGTCTCGCATATCAAATAATTGCATCACATCGTGAAACCACTACTCCTGAGGTTGTTGTAGCCTTTCAATCTTCTGACCATGGTTGATGCATTTTAAAGCATCACAATACTATAGAAAAATAAATCATCGTCAGAAACTTTGAATATTATAACACATGTATTTCAAAGAATAAATATAGATGAATTTTACCTTTTCGTCCCACACATGCCTGTAAGAATTATCCGGATATAGAGGCAGCAACGATAAGTCATACAAGCCTCATCTTAACTCCTCAAGAACGACTACATCGACAATAGATGCATCAACCTGAGGTGCCTCAACTTGAACTAGTGTGGCTTTTGAGGCATCAGGGTGATAACTTCCTCCTTCGAGAAGACGGAGTTGAAGATACATGAATTCTAGAAGTTGACGACTCCACATCAAACAAACTAGAACCGAATGGTGGTTGCGAGGGTCGGACTCTTCCCTATAAATTGAAGCATGTTACGAGACTCTGTTGAGCCCCATTCAATCTTGGTTATCAACCATGTTGCCTATAATTAAATCACGCAAGCAGTACATTGTAGAAAAAATCAAACCCGGATGAAACACAATGAAAATCAAGCCAAATAATGCAGATAGACAGAATACGGAAATTCACTTTCATATTTATGGAAAATTATATTTTTAACAAATACAGAATATCATTTCTGTATTAACCCGCAACTTAAAAAATGCAAATGGTATCAAGGCTACCTCCAACCCCAAGAACTCTCTCCCTCTCACCATTATCTCCATCACCTCACTACAAGAAAAAAAGAGATTTACGACACATAAATTGCGACAGTTCCCACAAAACCGTCCTTATTCCTGAATTGCGACAGTTGTCACGACGGTTAGGCTCAACCGTCGTAGATTTTCAAGCATTATGAGTCACTTTCTCCTAAGTTCAACCATCTTTCTCTCTTCGTCTATTCAAATCGATGATGAGCCACTTCGCAACGCCTCCACACGCCCTCAGAATCTTTCAATCTCTGCTCATCTCGCTCAAATAGAGAATCGAAATAAAGGGAGAAATAGAGAAGGTAAATGGGAAGGAATTAAGCTACAATGAATTTGTTGAAAGATAATCTATTTGCAAAAATGTTTCTCAAGTAGTTTTTTTCTACACTTACATTACATTTTTTGTATTGTAATAACTTCTCTATTTTTGCACTAATTCAATAAAAAATTTAATATAATTTCGAGTTTTGCAAAAAAAAATGTTGATTTTTTTTATATCTCATCTCACACGACAAAAGGAAAAGGAAGGAGTAAACAGCATCACGTGCGTTGTCCATACTCTCTCTCTCTATCAACCCGTCCCACCAATACAGCGAGATCCCCTTCGACACACCGGTATGTAAATGTAACCCACTCTGAATCCTAGACCAAAAATAAAATTTTAAAAAATAAAAAAAATAATAGCTTACGATTTCAAGGTTTTGTTTCGAACGCAGTATAATCCGATTCCGGTTTCCATGGAAACAATCTCAAAGATCTAGCTTCTAGCAGACGATTTTTTTTTTTTTGCCGATGGCGATCCTCTATGCCTTGGTTGCCAGAGGCACGGTGGTTCTGGCGGAGTTCAGTGCCGTCACCGGCAACACAGGCGCCGTCGCTCGTCGGTTACTCGAGAAGCTTCCTACCAAATCGGATTCCAGACTTTGCTTCTCTCAAGATAGATATATCTTCCACATACTCCGATCCGATGGCCTCGCGTACCTTTGTATGGCCAACGACACCTTCGGAAGTGAGTAGCTCGCCGTTCTTTTGTTTTCTTGATTTATTGTTTTTGACCTAATTGCTTTAATATCCAATTCTAATGTTTGTGCTGAAAAAATGATTATGGAAGGATCAGTATTCTTTCTAGAATGAAGATAGGGTTTACTTGGAGTGGTTTTGGTTAGTTTCTTTTGTTTAAACTTATAATGATTATATGATTGTTATATATTGAAAATGAACTGTGTTGGTGTGGTGAAATTGAAAAAAAAAGGTGTGATTGAAGTCTGCATCATTGTTTATGTGTTGTTAGTTAGTTCATCTATTAAGAGATTCAATTGTGTTGCGGAGAGGTGTTCTTCAGAGGTTTTTCTGGCTTCTGTTGAGTGTTTGGAACTGATCAGGCTTGATACTGCAAATTATGCAACCGCGTTAGAAGCAGAATCAAACAGAGGCTTCATTCAATTGGCATCTGAGGAACATGGTGTGGCACCGTGTCTGATGCTGTCATTGCTTTTGAATGACACTTTTCCGTAAGGTAAAAGGGAGAAGAACAAACCAGTGATGCTAACTGGATTAATGGACAATCATTGGAAGGCTTGCACTGATTGGGTTAACCCTAATGGAAAACCTAATCTCCAATTTTTCTCCACTCATTTTGGTTCCTCCAAAGTTCAGGTTGATAAATTGTTACTTCTAAGTTAATTTCCTTAAAATCAATATTTAACATTGGTTGTTGGATATAATTTGTTGGTGATTATTGGTGATTGTAATTTGTAGTTACACTCAAACTTTGTAAGATTGAGATTCCTTTAACTCGTTTGAAAATTTGAAATGTTGATGCTATCAGCTGATTGAAATTTTGGTCATGGAAAGGTTGCAGACTGTGATACCAGAGATTTTACTGATCAAAAAAGGGAGGACATGTTGGTTTCCGATTTCGTTCGACTTTGCTTTAAATATGAAGGTTCTGCAGTTCAGTGCAGTAATCAAATTGGTGTAAGTAATGGTGACTCTGCATCTGTACCGTATTTGAAGGATTGGCATTTTGTGAAGGTATCATTTTTGGCTTTTCATCACTTTATCATTCATTGTTGTACATTTGTAGTGCCTTTTCATAATTTACTTTGAAGTCTGCCCCTGTCAACCTAGATAATCCTCTTGTTGCATTAGAGTTATCATATGTTATGTTATACTACATATGATGATTTACTAAGTAATTTCTTTTTCTAACTATTGCAGGAGTATCCTGATTACGTACCATACATCACTCCGATGTTCTTTTGTGATGATTGGCTCAACTTGTATCTCGATAACTTTAGAATGAATACTTATTCCGACAGAGACCAGCAAAATAAGGAAATATGTTGTTCTGACTATCGTTTTGTTTACATGGGAGTAAAAGGTGTGATTTTAGTTGGGAAGAAATCTTGAAATGACCATGAATCTCAGATGATTCTGCACTTTTCTATGCGAAGAGATGAGCAATCCAACAGTAACTTCTTACTTTCACTTCTTCTGGCAGGATCTTGGACTCCTCTACATGCTGATGTTTTCAGAGCAGCTCCGAAGGCTCTTCAAATTGATGAAGATGGTGAGAAAATCAGATAGCAATCTCTTCAGAAACTTAGGTACGAATACCTCACTTTCTCACTTTGAATTCACATTTCATTGGTAATTCATCTTCTTCAAATCTCTTCCACGAATTTGCTTCTTGTTTTTACTACAGTGTTATATGGAATTATTGTCCTGTGTGATTTGAAAATCATTGAACATGATGATGATGCAGTTTTGATGAAGTATGCGTGATGTTGATTATCGTTGTTGAGAAGCCGATTCGGACTTGTTGATGAAAATGATTTTGTGTAGAGAAGCAGTTAGAGAGTGAGTTTTGGAGAGATGAAGTTCTGAGAAGAGTTTCGGATGTGTGCAGAACGAATTGTTGAAGTTTTAGAAGTGAAATCGTTGAAGACTCATAGAAGATTTTTTGTAATTCTCTCAAGTTGTAGCAAACCAATGTAAATATTAAAATGAAATTTGGCCTTTGATGATATTTGAATTTTTCTTGTTTATTGGTAAAATTTGCACTTCTTTTTACCTTTGATCACATTTTTTTGATATTATTGATGATTATTTGATATTAAATGTTTTTATTGTAATTAACTTTATTATGTTGAAAAGTGATAGAAAATAAAATAAAAATACTATAAATAAAAAAATATTAAAGTAAATAATAATTTAAATATAATAGTAAAATATTATAGTAAAATAATATTATATTTAAAATTATTTTACTAAATAATAATTTAAATAAAAATATTATTTGAAATTTATAAATCAGATTACGACGGTTAAAACCGCCGCAATTTCTAACCTACGGCGGTAGAATAACCGTCGCAAACAACAACAAAAACAAAAAATAAAGTCAAATTCACGACGGTATATAACCGTCGCTATCTGTTGTGCGTGACAGTTTTTGCAACCGTCGCGAAATAGGCTGGGGACGCACGATTCTGCGACGGTACTTCTACCGTCGTAGATTGTAAATTGCGACGGTTTTAACCGTCGTAATCAGCCAAAATAACCGTCCCAATCTATCATTTTTCTTGTAGTGCCTCCACCATCCTTCTTAACCCCATGACCTCTCCACCTTGACAATGCACTGATCATATTTATACAATCAGTTTGATCTTTAACCTGATAAATTTTCCATCCTCACAAACATCATCAACGACCTTCTGAGGTTTACCACACTACTACGGAAAATCCATTTAACAATGGTTAAAAAATCCATATAATCATGTGGGTCCATGTGTTATTGTGTAGAATGTTATTGTAAATGCGTAACTTACAATCACGGTTTTGGGACCGTTGTACTATACTGGAAAAGGCGCGTTATATCACAACGATTAGTTATCTCAACCGTTCTGATAGGCCTAAAGGTTCCAAATTTGATTCTCAGTATAAACATTTTGTAATTTATATTATTCTGTTCAGCGTTCAATATACAACCACGGTTAGGGATCATAACAGTTGTCGAAATTTCTGCTGTTTTAAAAAAAGAATTTCTTTGCTTTTTAAATTTTCCCCATATTTTAACCCGTATCTATTTTAACCTTATCAGAAAATTAAAAGCAACCTGTATTTTAGTTAACAATGCATAAAGTTCATAAAAAATAATCTATACATCAAATACTTCAAATACATTAAAATCCAACAATAATATTTACACAAATACAAACTATATTTAAGCCAACTGTAATATTTACATCAAATATTAGAATATGTTTAAGCACATATAACCATACTGTTAGAACAAAGTTTGAATCTACTACCCTAAGTTTAAGTTTTGATGATAACAAAATGAAAGGATATATTAATTATGTGATTCATACAAGAACTATTTGCTACCTAAATTATTACGTTCTGCTTTGCAGAAACTCTGATAGGTATCAGCAAAAGTACATCTTAATCAGCATCAGAATATTGGTTATCAATGCCAGCATCAGAAGATGCTATATCAGAATACCAGAATCAGAAGAACAACTCACGCGAATGCTGAAGCTTGATGAACAGAACTGCGCTCAACACTCTGATTAAAAGACAACAACAGTTCATCAGCACTTAAGTAGAGTCAGAATAAGGCCAAGCCAGAACACGCTTTAAGTAGCAACGGTATTGTGCATTCAAAGCTAATTATTACCAACGGCATCATTCCAGACAAGATCTGCTCAATAAGGAAAATTTGTTATTGACATTGAATCAAGAATATTGCTCCAACGTTCAACAAATTCAGTGCTATATAAACAAGACAATGAAGATTGAATTGGCTAATGCTCTACAACCATTTCCACGCCTAAAAGCTATTCTACATCTTCTCATTCTCAGTTTGCTAAACGCTTCATATTTCCTTACTCATTATTTTAGCAATCTAGTTTCAATAAGCTTAAATTGTGTAACATCACAGTTGTGATACAGTTTTGTAGAAAACATTCACACACCTAGATTTCTCTTCTTTGTAAGAAAGTGTTTCCTTGACAAACTGGGCTGTGGTTTGCATCAAGAAGGCTTTAGCAGTTGTTAAAGCAGATTGTAATATTCAGTTGAATATAGTGGATTAAGACCTCGTTGGAGAGAGGCGAAATCACCTTGACGGGTGGACTGGAGTAGTTTGAGATCAAACGAACCAGGATAAAAATATCGTGTTCATTGCAATTGATTTTCAGTTTTACAATTCAACCCCCCTTCTTGTGTTTTTCACTTCTTAAATTGGTATCAGAGCGCCTGGTTCTGAGCTAAAACACTTAACCGTGTCAGTACAAGATCCAGCGTCAGAAAAACACAATGGCATGAAATTATTCTCACACCAGCAATGACAACCATGAGGACAGAGACAGATTCAGCGGGAAACCTCCAGTCTTTGATGGAGAAAACTTTGATTACTGGAAAGACAGAATTGAAAGCTTCTTTCTGGCACATGATGCTGATCTGTGGGATATGGTCACAGATGGATACACGCACCCTGTGAATGCAAGCGGTCAGAAGATTGATAGGAAAATAATGTCTGACCAACAAAAGCGTGACTTCAAGAATCACCACAAGGCCAGAACCATCTTTCTCAGCGCCATCTCGTATGCTGAATATGAAAAGATCTCCAACAGAGACACAACAAAGAACATGTTTGACTCACTCAGAATGACGCATGAGGGCAAAGTTCAGGTCAAAGAAACTAAAGCTCTGGCGCTCATCAGAAGTATGAGGCGTTCAAAATGGAAGAAAGTGAATCCATTGAAACAATGTTCTCAAGATTCCAGATTCTGGTAGCTGGTCTCAAGGTTCTAGACAAAGGTTACTCTACTGCTGATCACGTCAAGAAAATCATCAGAAGCTTACCCAAGCAGTGGAGGCCAATGGTTACAGCTCTGAAGCTAGCAAAAGATCTCAACAAAATTTCTCTGGAGGAACTTATCAGCTCCCTCAGAAGTCATGAGATAGAGCTAGAAGCTAATGAACCCCAGAAGCAAGGTAAGCCTTTAGCATTAAAATCTAACAAAAAATCTGAGTCTAAAGTTTTGCAGGCAATTGAAGAAACATCTGATGGATCCTCATCAGAAGAAGACGAACTCTCCCTCCTCTCCAGAAGAGTGAATCAACTGTGGAAGCAGAGGCAAAGGAAGTTCAGGAATCCCAGAAGATCTGATCAGAACGAGTCTTCTTCCAGATACAGAAGGACAGATTCTTCCTCTGGATACAGAAGATCTGAAGGCTCCTCATGAAGCAGAAAGCCAAACACCAAGGACATCATCTGCTATGAGTGCAATGAGCAAGGACACTACAAGAGTGAATGCCCAAAGCTTCAGAGGGAAAAGCCCAAAAAGAAGTTTGGAAGAGAAAAGAAGAAAAGTCTCATGGCTACATGGGATGACTCTGACTCGTCTGAAGCTGACTCAGAATCAGATGATGAGAGAGCAAACATAGCTCTCATGGCCAACATTTCAGAAGATAGTGAAGCTTCTGAATCAGACTCAGAATCAGATACTGAAGAGGTATTTCCTGACTTTGCTGTTAATTTTACCAAGGCTGAACTTGCTGAAAGCCTTAATGAAATTCTGGAAAGGTATCAGCAGATTAGAGTTAAATTCAGAGACCTGAAAAGGAATCTTGAATCTGACTCTAATAAGACTGAGAGTCTTAAATTGGAGAATTCTGAGCTGAGAATTAAAATTTCAAAATTAGAAAATACTTTACAAAACTCTCAGAAGGAACCAATTTCTGAAACTCCCAGCAAAGCTGATGAGATCATCAAGGAGTATGATCACAGTTTCCAGAAGTTTCTTGCTAAAAGCATAGATAGAAGCAAAATGGCTTCAATGATCTATGGAGTTAGCAGAAACGGCAGGAAGGGAATAGGATACCAAGGTAAGGTTCCTACACCAAAGAATGTCATGGATTTAACCATTAAACACACTCCTCTGAATTCACATTTTGTGTATGGTCACACACATGATATTAAATACACTAGCAGTAAGTACTCTGTGAAACCAAAATTCAACCAGAGTTTTGGTAAATCTAACAAATCAGGACCCAAGAAAATCTGGGTACCTAAGGATAAAATAATACATGTTGCAGATATCTTTAGCAGCAAATCAGAAACACCAGTCATGGTACCTGTACTCTGGCTGCTCGCGACACATGACGGGAAGAAGGCATATGTTCCAAAGCCTGGAACTTAAGCTTGGAGGCCACGTTGGCTTTGGAGGCAATCAGAGGGGAAAGATCATTGGCTCTGGAACTGTAGGTAATGGAAATCTTCCCTTTATTAATAATGTTCTGCTAGTAGATGGATTAATGCATAATCTGTTATCCATAAGTCAATTAAGTGATAACGGTTATGATATAATCTTTAATCAAAAATCATGTAAAGCTGTTAGTCAGAAAGATGGGACTATCATGTTTAATGGAAAGAGGAAAAACAACATTTACAAAATCAAACTTTCTGAACTGAAAAGTCAGAATGTAAAGTGCCTTCTGTCTGTTAACAACGAGCAGTGGATCTGGCACAGAAGATTGGGGCATGTTAGTATGAGAAGAATATCTCAGATTAACAAACT